CTATCCATCCCAAGATACAGGCAATCAAGAAAAAAACTGATTAGTAGGCAGGGCATAACTCATTGGCGACAAATGCAACTGCATATTACAGCTTACCGGTTGGTTGCACGCCTGAAGACAGGGTCGAACGTGACATTGAAAGTAAACTAGTTGCGATGTCGTGAACTGGAAACCGTACAGATTTACGTACACGTGCTTTGAGCCGTTCCTTGGTTGTACTGTAGTGTACACCGGACCTTCGACCGCCCGTTCCAGCTTCTGCCCACACCTGGAAAAACTAGATTTTGACAAGATACTGTATATATAAGTATAAACATACCCGTTCTGATCGATAATGCTGATACTGGATTCCGGAGCATTCGATCCATCATGAGCATAGCAGTCATGCACGTAAAAGTCGTATATAGCTGTAAAAGTTATTTATCCTAAGAAGCTACAGTATGCTGCTGATTTACTTGTGTCTTCCATCATTACGTCGAGGGTGATTGGCTGACCAACCTGGGCAGAGTCGATGACATCACCAGTGATGCCGTGTCCTTGTCGAATTACCATTTTCAGAAGCGGATTGCCACCGTTACCGGTCACCACGTCAGCGTATGTTCGTGGGCTACGACATAAAAATTATGAAAATGAAAACAAAAACAAAGTTCAAATATAAACATACTCCAGTGCAGAAGCCCATATTTAGGAGTTTATGCAAGGCAATATTAGAAAAGGGGCTTCGACTACGGAAATGCGCCTGGGATCAGGCAATATATTACTTCAATAAATAATACCATGTGTGTTTAACACTATTTGTGGTATAATACCAGATTGCAATTCATCGTCCCCATTGTCCAGGGGACAATTAAAAGCACCAAAGATGTACACTGTAAACTTGTGTACTAAAGATATCCTGTATGATTAATTTTCGCACATTCATGCAGTTGCCATCTTTATTACTATCTGACAAATAATTACCCCGCTTATTAACTTGTAAATGATCTCACGCCTATTTTGGAAACAGAATCAGCAACGAAACTTACACCTTTCGTTGATTATCGCATTATGAACTGTCAGCCGTTAGGCGGACTAAAATGAATTGCAGGCATATGAGTCCCTCGTCCTGTCGGCACGACACTAAGAAGCCAAAGTCAACGAATTGCTGCCCATTTCTAGGTCGTTACAACGAAGCCGCTTGGGTAAACTCATTGGTCGGGAAAATTAGCGGTAAAAAAATTAAAAAATACAACAATATTGGTGTTTACTAGACACTGCTGCGTGTGACCTGGGTCGCCTTTTTCGACCTGGTGCTCAGTAGTTTTAATGCAGATTAAAGAAAATGCGACGTCAAGGTCTTTCATCATGAGATATTCTGATTCTGGTAGAGACTCTTCCGCGTACTACTCAGTGGTGATGGACTATCGGTTGTCTATTCATCGCGCAAATTTTACTACACATTTAAGTTTGTTCTTCCTAGCATCCAATAAAGCGTTCTTCCCCTGGGTCATTTGATGGATCAGTTTATTCGTTATTCTTTGTTTTCTGTAAATCAATGACGTTCTTCCCTATGGGTCAATAAAGCCACACATTGGGCACATGAAGATCAAGGTAACAATGGAAAGAAAATGTACAAATAAACAGCAGAAACTTTTAACGCTGTGATAGGGCGAATTACTGATGAGGAATTAATTGCCATAGATATCAAAGTGAATTGTTAGTTAGGGATCCATTAAGAATCTGCCGGTTAAAGGTTGATCCAATTGTCTGTGAGCTTCCGTATGACAGATAGCAGAAATAGATTCCGGTTGGACAGACATTGAATGCTTTGAATCTTCCGGTTTCATTGTGCCGAGTGAAGCCGCAGATATGATCACTCTTCCTTCGGATCTAGATAATGAAGCCAAGCCACGATTTTGATAGCTCTCTGTAAAGTAGACTACACTTTCTTGGTCCATTTAGGGAAGTATATAGGCGCAGCAGGCTTTGCATAAGTTTACATGGAAGACTGCAGAACTCTTGACGGTATCTAAACATGCCTCAACCGCTGGAGGAATGAGACAGCTTTACGAATTTCTCAGCTACACTTACAACGTGCTTTCCCACCGGGTGCCGTCCTCCAGGATAGCCCCGAGGTATTTGACTTCTGATTTTATACAGAACAACTCGTTATTCACAACTATTTGATTTTGTTTTAGGTTTAAAACAAGTCTGTTTTTAAGATAGACGTGCGAAACACCACCTTCTCCGATGTGAATGGACCCAGCTTACAGACATTCTAGATTTGCTATGTGTTCTTGATTCTTGATGGGTGCGAGCACCGGCATGTCACTAGGGCAGTTTATACAAGTGGCTTGGGTTTTATTGTGGCTGGTCAAAAAGACAAAGCAAGTGACAACACTGAGCCTTGCGGAAATCCAAATTTACAAGGTTTCAAGTTTGACATAAAACCTCTTGCTCAGAGGCACTGAGTAATTTCGTTGAAACACGAGGTTAACGTCATCACAAGCTCCGGCATTTGGAGCAAAAAGCCCAAAGGACCGTTTCGAAGACCAAGCCGAAGACAATAAGTGAGCTGGCGGTCTGTTTTTCACCTCACATTATTAAGGACTACGTTTCGCTTCCATGCCACATTATTACGCAGAGAACAGTGATATTGAGCAACTGAATCTTTGAGCGCTATGAACGAGTGCAGCGCGTAGATCTACTGTCGCAATTTCCGATCGACATTTTCACGTAAGGTGCATGAAGCTGGGATTCAATTTTCATCAAACAATGTTCTGTATTAAACATTTGCATGCCAATGCGGTAGACTTGCGCACGGAGTGAAATCCAAACTGAAATCAAACTTTTTGCTCAGATATAGTCATAGCAATGCACTAAAGAAAAGCATGTTATGAGCATTGTCATTTTTCTTTTCATCTGTATCAAAAAGTGGCCATGTATGAGGGGAAAGTCCAAGTTTAAGCTGGTGATATAGTGACGAAGATATTTACTTAAGTCTTCCATTGTTTCTGCAACAGACCGGTGGTCAGAGGATGGTCTTCATTTAAACGGAAGTGTCATAATCGTATGCGTGTGTTGATCGCTATTGCGCCTAAGCAGTACCAGCTTCAACATTCGTGATCAACAACATTCTTTCAACGAAGAAAATGTGAGCTGCATGTGACTGAAATAGGTTCTAGCTTCGGTTTCATTTTTTGGGTAAGTATCTTGTCCAACCACCTCGTTATCGGCATATCTAATTTTATCTTCTGCCCACAAAATAGAAGCAACCCTCTTATGCAAACAGTTCTTCTGGCAATCAGCAATGTTATCATTATCGTGAGTTATCATCAAGAAAGCAAATCCTTGTCCTTTGTTTGCTAGGTTTAGTATTTCTGAATGCTATTCAGTTATTATCATGGCTAGGAATTTTGTTGTAAGTTTAATTCAAATTTCAGATTATGATAATGACGATATTCATTAAGCAGTGAAGACGTTATCATTGATAATTTACCGATTAGGAGTAATTGAATCAAGATCACGCTTAAGTCTAACTGTGCTAATTCAAAACGAAATGAATATCAGCGATGTAAGCCGGATACATATACATATAATTTAGCTATCTAGATTTATATGTGTATTAATTTACACTAAGTTAAAAATTATTTTAACGAGGCTTTCACCTGATCATGATTCCGGGTCCGTTGGCCCCAGTCGGCAGCGTCAGCGTGATGCTGTCCGTGTTGTAAGCGCAACGGACGATCAGACCTTCCACTCCGTCGACAAGCAAACCCTTCATCGGGCTGATGATCAACGTGACACCGAATTCGGCCGATTTCTGGCAAAACAAGTCCTCATGTAAAGATATTCCGCTTCCATTGTTTAAATAAAAAATGCGCTCGCGTTTTACCCCGGTCGGTTCCAC